CCTGGCGTCACTGAGAGGACAGGTGGCCCGGCATGCAAATCGTGTTTACATCTTTGTCACTGGGAGGCCTAGCAGATGCATCTGGATCTGTTTTCTCCTCAGGAGCCGACTGCCTGGCTGAAAACTCCATAGAGAAGGGGCAGAGATGGCTTCTGTGTTCCCCATGCCCACAGAAGACTAGCGATGCCTTGCTAGGTAACAAACAGTCTTGGTTGGAAGGACTGGTTTTTGTTTTTAATCTGAGACTACTTGGTTTGACTCATTGTGAGTCAAACCATAAAAAAGTATAGCGAGCATGGTTCTCATGCCACTAATATGACTGTACAAGAAATGTCACTATATTTTCTTTCTATCAAATTAAATCTGACTACAAGCTTCTGTCCCATTAGGTGGGCAGAAATTTGTTTCAAGTGAATTTCCGCTCATTGAATAGAAGAAAAATCCCAGATTTTATGACAACTAGAATGCCCAAGGAACCTCTCTGGTATTTGTCCACCAGTCGCCACAGTTATGTCCATCATCCAAACACAAGTGTTCCCTTAGAATCCATATGGGCTCATGAGTTCTGCCAGGTTCATTCTGCAGGGCCACCCCTCCTGGGCACAGGCTGAGATTCCCACTACTTGGAGCGTCCCTAGACCTCTCATGGATCTAGAAACACCCCTCCCCCATTACTCCTGTCTGCCTTCAGGACACTTATATTTCCTCCATGAGTTCTTTTTTTTTTTTTTGGTACCAGGGAGCTCTCTGCTTTTTTATTCTTCCATCACAGCTAAAGACAAAACTCACTCTCTCCTCGCTCATGTATTATCCTATGATATTATGCAAAGCAAAAAATCAAAGTCCTTCTTTACTAACCTCCTCTCTAATTCCTCTCCAAGAGCTGCCATTATCAGGATTTTTGGCCTGTGCTCTGTTGTCTTTCAGTTATCTGGTTGTAGACCTTTAGTATTTAGTCAACAAATAGACCGAGCACCCAGTGAATAGCAGGCACTGAGGGGGTGGTGGGGGTGGCATAAACTCAGCCATAGCCCCAGGGGGAGAAGGCAAAAAGAAGACAACAAAGTGGGATAAGTATATGAATAGGGAACGACAGGACAGAGCAGCAAGTGCCAGCAGTATTTAGGGAAACAAAACATTATTTCTGGAGCATGGCCTGCCAGGAAAGAAGAGGTATAGGGAGGGAAAACCTGAAGGTAGGGCCCAAGCAGACAGAGCCTTTTAAGCTATGTTTAGAGTACAGAGTTCATCCCAAGAGCTATTAGGAGTTTTGTAAGAGCTTTAAGTAGAGCATTTTAGATCATTTTGGTTTCAATAAGAAATGGTGGGGTAAGGTGACCCTAGATGGGAAGTTATTAGAATAAATCAAGATGGCACTGATGGTGGGATGTATTAGGGTAGCCATAATGGGAATGGAAGAAAGTAGAGAAAAAAGAGAAAAATATTTCAGAGGTGGAGTTGTTAGAATTTGGTGGTAGGATATTGTTGGTTGGGAGAGGGTGAAGGAGATGGAGAAGACAAGGAAGGTAACATCTGGCTGGGGTAACAGATGGATGGTGGTTCTGATTTCTAATATAGAGAACTCTGGAAGAGCAGTTTTGGGGGGAAGAATGGTATGTTCAGTTTTGAAGAGGCAGAGTTGAGGTGTCTCAGGGTTATTCAGTTGGATACATGAGTCTGGAGCTCAAGAGAAGACTAGACCGTGACCTAGTCTTCTACAAGGAGAACTAAGGTTGTGGAATTGAAGAGTGAGAAAAGGGCTGAGGGCAAAATTCTGGGGGGTTACCAACAACATTCTAGGACTTATACTAAATATATATACTAGTAATGCCAGTTTTCTTGGTCATGAATTGGGGAAGGTATCATGTTTTCAAAGTCAAATGAAATTGACTTTTAATTTTTCTCCTTTTTGTAACTTTATTCTACTACTTTTTTCCATTTCATCTGCTCTCTGCCACATACTGGCTGTATAACTTGGGCATGTTTTATAACCTTCTAGTGCCTCACTTTCTTCATCTTTCAAATAGGGACAGTAATGGCCGGGGATTTAGCTCAGTGGTGGAGCCACCTGCCTCGCAAGCGCAAAGTCCCGAGTTTGATCCCCGGTACCAAAAAAAAATAGGGACAATAGTAGTATCTACTTCTTGCTGTTTTTGTGAGGATGAAAAAGAGTTAATACACAGAAGTGCTTAGTACAGTCACTTATACTCAGTAAGTACAAACTGTTATTATCCTCTTCCTCATTGCTGTTACCATGGACAGTGGAGGGTTGACTCCACATTTGTGTAGAGTTCCATTAAATTCTAACCTCATATGACCTTGAATTCCTAAGTTTAATGTGCCTCTTCGGTATAAGGAAAGTGAGGAACTGTGTGAAGCCTTGGCATCTCAGGGGAATTTACTAATGGGTCCTGTCCTCCCATTCCTTCTTCTACAATTGTTGGTTCAGGACCAGGCAAATGAAGACCCTGACACTAGCCCTGTTAGGTCAGCGGGCAGAGGGGTGTAGAAATATTTGCAAATCTTTCTGTGCAGTCTGCTCTCCTCCCTGTGACTTTCCTCTCCCAGTTGGCTCTTTGGTTAGTGAGAGGCATCTGGGGTCATTGTGAGAAAGCTGGACTGGGCTGAGGAGGAAGAGCAAGCACATCAGTGACTTCTGAGGCTGTAATTTGTCCTTCCTAAAGATCTCCTTCGTGTCTTTTGTTCTGTTGGAGCATCTGACTTCTGATTCCTCACCTCACTCAGTGCTCCTCTGCCGTCACCAAGAGAATCCCCAATGCAAATCTGTGGTCCCTGATCCATAGCCTGACTCTTGCTGGTCTTTTCAGCCTCATCTTCTGCCTTCTCTTTTATGCCAGACCTGTCTTCCTGAAGTCCATTCCAACCTGGTGCCCAGGTGCAGGTGGCTTCCTTGGCTAGTAATGTACCTCTCCACCCCACCCCCTTTTGTTGGTCCATTAGGTGAACACATACCTGTTTGGCCTCAATAAAAGTTATCATGTCACTCTTAGGATAACTCCTCTGCCCTTCCTGTGAGATTACTGTCTCTCCTTGTGTCCTCCCATAGGCCCTTGAACAAAGTGGCATCTTAACATTGAAGTGCTGTGTGTTTGCATGCTTGTCTTTTGAGCCTCATTAAGACAATGAGCCTCTTTTACTCACCACTGACTCTTCAGTGTTTGGTACCGTACCTGGCACCGTGGGGGCCTCAGCATTGGTGAAATTAGGAAATGAGGGCCGGGGATTTAGCTCAGCGGTTCCGGCGCCTGCCTCACAAGCGCAAGGTCCCAAGTTCGATCCCTGGTACAAAAAAAAAAAAAAAATTAGGAAATGAATGGCTATGTGGTTGCATGGATAGACAGTAGACAGACTAATAGAGCTTGTTGAGCTGAGTGTTGAGAACAACTTAACCCCATGCCAGCCTTTTTCTGGGGATAGGAGAGCATAATCTTTCTTCCACACACTCATAGTCTTTAAGTTCTGGGAGGAAGAATAGAATATCTTCCTATCTCAGCACTCCCTGTCTAGAGATGTTTATTCAAAGTGAGATAGTGTATATTTGTGAAGACCCTACTGTGTTCAAGTAACTGCAGTGATACAGTGAGAGGAAATAGCCTCAAAGTGCTCTGAAAGTGACTGCGCTTTTATTTATTTATTTATTTATTTATTTATTTATTGGTACTGGGGATCGAACTCAGGTCCTTGCACTTGCAAGGCAGGCGGCAAAACCACTGAGCTAAATCCCAGGCCCCCTTCTTTTTTTGGGGGTACTGGGGATCGAACTCAGGTATGACTGTGCTTTTAAATTCATCACTACTAATATTTCATATGTTCATAAAGCTCTATGGTTCCTCTGATGGTTCTTTCTGGAAGTCTTTCAGACTTCAGAATCAGTGGAGGGAGGCATGTGGGTTGCTCCTTAGTAGGAAATCCCTTTCTTGCCAGGATACACTGGGTTTCCACCATATGGGTGTTCTTGGCCCACTGGATTGTCTAGGGCCTAATAAATCATACTTTGTTCCCATAGTACTCTTAACATTTTATTTAGGAAAAATTAGATTCAAATGACTATTAGAATCACCTTGAATAAGAAGAGTTAAAGTAAGACAGTCTCATCCCTTGGCTAAGGAGAACCTCAGATTTTTGGTAGCATATGTTGGCCTACTTCCCCATTACTCATTATTCAGCACAACTGGGTATAGAGGCACAGGGTCTTAAACTGGACCTGCCATGAGTTCAGAGCAGATGGATTGACCTGGTTCTTTTTCCACTGCATCATTTTTTGGGGCAGGTTGAATTCCTAGGAATTGTGCTGGTCAAGGCTAAAGTCTTAGCCAAGCATTGTCCCAAGATAGTCTCTTCCCCCCTCAGCACCTTGCTTGATCCTGTTATGGGCATAGGGCACAGGCAAAAGGGAGTAGTGAGAGAATCGAGTTAGCATTATGTTAGAAGACCCACACCATGGGAAAGAGATGGAAATCTATAGGGTGACAGCTGCTGGGGGCAACGCAAGAGGCAGGAGACACCACCAGCACCTGGCACTGCCACTGGAAGCAGAGGGAAGACAGGATTCTGGAGGGAGGCACTGATGTAGGAGGAGATGGATATTCTGTCAGCCTCAGGTTTTTGGAGCAGGTAGAAGAATCAGGAATTGAGAGAGGCTGGAGCCAGGAGAGGAGCCCTTTGCATCTGGCCAATGTGGAAAAATAGGGCTTGAAGGTTGTTGGAGCTGGTTTGTAGCAGACTATTCATTCAGGCTCCTCTGGTATATTCCTCTCTCTCATCTACCCCCGACCTCCTGTCCTTGGTACCAGCACCTCTGAACTGACAACTGATGGCTACTGGCTTACTATGAAGCAACCTAATAACAAGACTGCTCTTTTTTAGCACTGAAAGACCTACCTGGAACTTGCCTGGGGCAGCATCTAAGTACTTGGCTCCTCATAGCTTACTTCTGCCCAAAGAGCCTCTCTAACCCAGGTCTTTGTCTCTCTCTGCAGTCTCATCCCCTGTACCTGTGCAATGCCAGTGATGACGACAATCTGGAGCCTGGATTCATCAGTATTGTCAAGCTGGAGAGTCCCCGGAGGGCCCCTCGCCCCTGCCTGTCACTGGCCAGCAAGGTACATTCACACTTGACCCTACACATGCCCGGAACTGTGAGAGGCCCCTGTACTCTCTTGTCCCTTTGTCTCCTAAGAGTTATATGTACCTGAGCCCCTCTCCTGGTGGGAGAATGGTGGAAATTTCACACGTCTGTCCTTTGTCCAGCATCAAGCACCAGCAGAATTTTGACTTTCATCTTAGTAGGTGCCCAATCCCCCCTTCTCCTCAGGTTAGGAGTTCCTAAGCCTGTTCCCTGCCTGGTACCAGAATATTTCAGAAACATTTGCTGAACACTGTTTTTTTTTTACCCCGCACTACAGATTGAATCTAGAGCCTTCATACTGAGCTACATCCCCATGCCTTTTAAAATTTTTATTTTGAGACAGGGTCTTACTGAATTGCTAAACTGCCCAGGCTGAGCTGGAACTTGTGATCCTCCTGCCTCAGCCTTCCAGAGTGCTGGGATCACAAGTGTGTGCCACCACGGCCAGCTAACCTTTACTGAACACTTTTGCAAGGAAAGCAAGACAGCAGCCATCACCCCACCCTTACAAATTTGCATGTTTCTTCTTAGGTTGCAAACTGCTGGCCCACAGGCTAGCTCTGGCTTGCACTAGGTTTGTGTTTAGCTCCCACAGTGACTTTTCCAAATGCAAATTAATTGCCACATTTAAAAATTGAAAATGTTCATATAAAACATTTTCTGAAGAAAAACTCCTGTGCTCCAACAGTACTTGTTTCACTTTTGTACAGGCCCCAGTCAGCCGGAGCTGGGCAGGAGAAGGCCCCTTTTAGCAGTTGTCAGGCTCTCTTGTTTGCCACATTCTGCTTTGGCCTCATTGGCCCTGTAAATGTCTGTGCTTGGGAGCCTGCTCTAACTACTAGTGGCTGTTACTATTTTCTGTGTGCTTACCACTGCGCCTAGAGGAACATGGGACAGATACATCATATATCATCTCATTTACTTTTCACAACATTCTGGAATGGCAGGCATTACCCTTCATTTGGCTTAGGAGGCAAGGGAGGACCAGAAGAAACTGAGTAACTTGCCAGGTGACACAAATCAGAACAGGGTGGAGCTGAGATTTGAACCTGGCCCTGTCTGGTTCTCAAACCTAGGCTTTCAGGTTCTGTGTGTAGCTGGCTGGGCCTGTCGCTCAGGGGTATAGTACTTGCCTGGTGTGCTCAAGGCCCCCAGTACCACACACACAAACACACACACAAAGAATGTGGCACCCACAGGTAAGTGACAATATCCTCCTGGCCTGGCCATACTGATGCAGAAGGAGTTTCCGGGAAGGTGGGAAGCGGGGTCAAGGCACCTGTGGAGGAGCGGGAGCATGGGCATCTCTGCAAAGCCGCAAAGGTCTCACAGCAGCAAAATTTTGTTAGGCTGAAGCTGCCCTGCTCTGGATATTTCATTTCTCTGCTTTACAAAGGATGTCATCCTCATTTGGTAAGGAAGCACTCAGTGTTGCACTGCATTAGGTATGGTGTGAGCGTGAGCAGAGTGTGAGGTGGGGGCAAAGGGCTCAGAGAGGCTCTGGTGGGTTTTTTTTAACCTATTACAAAAGCAGTATGTTTTTGCTCTGGAAATTTTACAGAAAAACTCTGCTACCCAGAGTTCCCACTGTCCTTTTGGCATAGTGTGAGATTTCAGCATGTGAACACTGGGAAGCTGTAGGCGCCTCCACAGAGGGGCTCCTGGCACACGCCCGGAGGAGAGTTGGGACTCACGCACAGACACTGTGAGGGAAGGGATACGTGCTCAGTGTCCTGTCAGGTGCTCGCTGGGCTTTTGTTTCCATCACCATAAAATGAGACTTTGATTTCCTATCCCCATGATTATTGTAAGGGTGAAAATAATGTGTCAAGTGCCAAATTGCATCTGAGCTAAAACAAACACGGAAACAAATCAACTGTTAGGGGTTTAGAAGTGCCTTGGCTACTGTGTGAGTCTCTCCTGCTCTCGCTGCCTGCCCGTGGGGACTGCTCCAGCCCCAAGCTCACCAGTGCCTTCCAGTTGGGGCTCCCCCGGGTCTCATACTTTGATCACGAAGCACCTGCCTGCCTGGGGTTCCCTGGCTCACACTAGGTCTTTGAGGGTAGTAATACTTTCAGTATTTCAGAAGTCCCACACACTTGACTGAAATACTCATTTCTTGTCTTTGGTTGGTTCAATGTATTAATACAGGTTATCTCATAGGAAAATGAATTGCACATAATAAATGCAGTTAGCTTAGTAAAACACACTATTTTAAAGATATAGTTCATGAAAAAAATAGCTCATGAGAGGTGTAAGGCAAAGGTGAGGTCTCTGGTAAGGAAAAATAAAAATCACTGACTCAGTTCAGTTCTGGTTTTTCCTATTAGTTTCATCCTATTAGTGCCATAATCATTGACAGAGCTGGGACTCTCAAGGGTTTAAACCTGGTTCCTCCACTAACCTTCAGTGTGACCTGGTCATTTTAGCTCTCCTCTCCAAGCCTCTGTTTCCTCATCTGTAAAAGTGGAATAATATTGAGTTTATATCGGTAGTCATGAGGATTTAACGAGACAGCACTAATGGAAGCTCTTAGCCCTGTGTCAAGCACATAGTAACCATTCAAGAAATTATTGCAGTCACCACTCTGTCATCATCATAGACCTCATCTTCCCATGTTTTGTGCGTGTGTGTGTGTGTGTGTGTGTGTGTGTGGGGCACTGGGATTGAACTCAGGGCCTTGCATATGCTAAGCACATGCTCCGCCACTGAGCCACCCCCGTACCCACCCCATCCTGTGCTTTTATAGTTCACAAGGTTGGTTTTTATTTGTTATCTTTCTTGTTGTGCTCTGAAACCCTTACCATAATTCTTCTGGACTTTTCCATTCTTTTTTTGGGGGGGGGTACAGGGGATTGAACTCAGGACCTTGCACTTTTGAGGCAGGCAGCGGCACCACTGAGCTAAATCTCCCGCCCCTGGATTTTTCCATTCTTGTCACTACCCCCACCCCAGTCACTCAAATTGGTTTCTATTTCTTTATTAGAAGCTCCATGGTCATCCTAGTGATAAGTCAGACCCTTATCACCTCATGCCTGGCCTAGTGCCCTTTGCCTAGTAGAAGGAGTTAGATCCAGAGACAAGCAGCTGGCTGGAAGCTGTGCCTGTCTTCCTCAGAGGCCACTCCCCAGTGGTTAAGAGCAGGCACTCTGGAGGCTGAAGTCCTGGATGGGAGTCCCACCTCTACTGCTTATAAGTGAGTGACCCCAGGCAAGTCATTTAGTGTCTCTGAGACTCATTTGCCTCAACTCAAAAGTGGGGTTGATGACTGTCTTATAGAGCAGTAAAGAGTAAATGAAGTCATGTATGCAAGCATCTGTACTAGTTGATACAATAATCATTAATATTTAAGGAACACTTACTATCTTCCAGGCACAATTGTAAGTGCTTTACATGGATTAATTTATGTAGTCCTCATGACAACTCTATAAAGTAGGTCCTCTTATTATCCCAGTTTACCAAAAGGGAAACAGAGGCACAGAGCAATTAAGTATCTTGCCCAAAGTCTCACAATTAACTGTGGTAGAGCCGAGATTCAAACCTAGGCAGTCTGGGCAGGTTTTCCCTTTTCAGTGAAGATTATAACCCTTCTTTCTAGGCTTGGTCCTGAGCCCAAGGGAACCCACCCCTCCTCCAAATCTTTCCTGCCTGGCCTAGCCCAGCCAGCTCAATAGGTGAAGAAATCTCTCCATCCAGCATGTCTCCAGCAGTGAAGGTCTTTGCCCAACACTGCTCTGCTAAGTCTGGGTTTCGTGGAGGAGCGGGGGGCAAGGAGGTTGGAAGAATCCTTCCTATTCTACCTCACCTCAGTGAGCTGCCTCATATTTATTCATTTTGTGTATTGAATATGTGTCCAATTTGGGGTGGGATAATGGAAGGACAAGTATTCTGAGGTACAAAAGTGTTGGCTACTGGTCTATCCCATTCATTTGCATCTAGGCTATATAGCATTATAGCCTTATGTACATAGAGGTCTTATCTCCCCAGTGAGATCCTGAGCTGTTCTAGAGGGCCTGGCCTTCCCTGCCTTGGTTCCTTGGACACAGTAGGTGCTCACTCAATCTTGGATGAGCAGGAGACGTGCAGAGACTCACTGTGGACTGGAGGGGAAAGTTTAAAGCCCAGAGAAGTACAGCCAACCAGTGAGCCCAGTGAGCAAGAGGCAGGATGTCATCTCACTCTCATTGCTTGCTGTGGAATGGCTCCAAAGCCAAAATCCATGGGCAGCCTTGCTTGCTGCCTGCCAGCCTGGCTCACTCTGAAGCATCCAGAGAGATCCCTGGCTTGTCTTTCTGTAGCCCAGTCACCTGGCCCTAAAGGGCTACCCATTCTTACTCGGCCTTCCAGATTCCATCCCAAAGAAGCACCTAGGTGCAGGTGGACAGTAGGCACAGAGAGCTCCAGATTGAGCAGTATATCTTGCTTTTTAATCCTAGAACAGAAGCCCCACTGCCTGAAAGTCCTGTTTGTTTTCTCCTGTTGGCTAACTCTTTGGGCTCTTTGATCACTTTTACAACTTTGTAATTACGGGCTGTAATGGGCGAGGGTGTTTGAATGTCATCATAATTGCTTTCTACTGTTCTACCCCAGTTCTTCAAAGAGATAGGGGTGGGAGCCAGGCATGGTGACACATGCCTGTAATCCCAGCTACACTGGAGGCTGAGACAGGAGGATTGCAAGTTTTCAGCACCTAGGCAACGTAGCCAGACCCTGTTTCAAAATAAAAAGGGCTAAGAGCTGGGCGTGATGGTGTGCACCTGTAATCCCAGCACTCGGGAGGCTGAGGCAGGAGGATCACTGCAAGTTTGAGGCTAGCCTGGGGTACACTGTGAATTCAAGGCCTGAACAACATGGTGAGACCTTGTCTCACAATAAAAATAAAAATAAATAATAAAAAGGGCTGAGCCAGGGATTTAGCTCAGTGGCACTGTGCCTGCCTCGAAAGTGCAAAGTGATTAGATCCCTGGTACCAAAAAAACAAAAACAAAAGGGCTAAGTATATAGTCAGCCCTCCCTGGGTTTGATCCTCAGTACCAGAAGAGAAGAAGGAAGGAGAGGGAGAGAGGGAGGAGGGAGGGAGAGAGAGGAGAGGAAGGGGGGAAAGGAAGGGAGGAAAGGAGAGAGGGAGGCAGAGGAGAGAGAGAGAGAGAGAGAGAGAGAGAGAGAGAGAGAGAGAGAGAGAGAGAGAGAACGAGAGAGAACACAAACCTCCAGGCCAGGGTCAAGGTCTTGTTCCAGGAATTGTAATTGTGACTACTGTGGTACCTCTCCCACTTCCAGGCCAAGTCCCTGGAATATGAGGTTGCAGGTAGGATTCCCCTAGCAGGGATTCCTTCCCCCAGCACTGCTCCCATGGCCTTGCTTGGAGAGCTTTGCCCTGCCTGGAGGAGCCTTGATGGAATGGCTTCCTGGGAGGAATGGGTGAGGGAATGATGGATGCTATGGCTTCTTAATTCCTTCAATGATTCCATGCTGGAGTTCTGTGAATTTCTAGCCCAGGCCGTGCCCAGGTGCTGGTCCCTGTAGAGGGCCCAGCCAAGCTCCTAGAAGACAGAGAGGAAAGAAGGAAGAGGGAAATTATCCTTAATCAAAGTGGGGCCCACTTGTGTGTCTCCACCACCCTCCCCTGCTTCCCTGCTCCCCTGCCTGCAGGCAGCTGATTCGGAGGGGCCCCCTGGCCCCTGCCACTGCTTGGGGAGCAGGAGCAAGGAGCTGCTCCCAGCCTGCCTGGCAGGAGACCTGTTGGGACAGGCTCTCCCTGGGAAGGCAAGCAGAGATCAAAGCACTGGGAGTATGAGTTAAGTCCCAGCACTGGCTTCTCTTCTGCCACCACTCCTTGCAGAGGGGTTAACTCCTTCACTGCCTCCCAAGGCCCCGGAGATCCAGTAGGGACCCTGAGGGAGGGAGGTCACTGCCTGGTGCCATGTCAAAGGAGCCTCTGCTCTAGAGAAGAAGGCCAAGCAAGGAGACCCACCTCCAGGCAGTGTCTACATGCCAGCTGGTCTACCGTTGTGCCTCCACCCCACCCTCTGTCTTATCTCCCTGCTTTGGCCCACACACACGTACCTACTGGATTCCCCACCTTTTCTTCTCTTTCTGGCTCTGCTATCTGTTCTGCCTGGCTGGCCAGATTCTAGCCCCCTCAGTCCTGCTCTTGGAGCCCTTGAACACGTGTGTGCACGGTTGTGTCCTTGTAGGAACAACCCCTCAAGCCCCTCCCTACTTGAGTCACCTTGAGGGAGAGGATGAGGGGTAAAAGTACTGAACAAGGGCTCCTCTAAGTCCTTAAAATGGAGCCAGAATGAGTTGGAAGCTAGAGAGTTGGGGGAGGAGCATGTATGTGAGATGGGCTGAGGGGGCCTTTGCCACCAGGCCTGGGGTCAGGCCCTTGCCTGAGCTGGAGGGATGTCCCACAGCCTCTCTAGGCAGGCAGGGCTAGGACCTGGGGAGCCCAGTGGGGCCCCAAAGGATTCTCTCTTGCTCTCCCTTTCTTCCTTTGTGTCTTCCTCCCACTGGGTGCTGGTCACTTTCCAGTCTTTGTTCTCACACTGTGTGAACCTTGAGGGCAGGGGCTGTGTCTTATTTGCCTTTCAACCAGAGCCACCTCATTATGCCCAGTAAACTTTGGTTAAGGGTTTGTTCTCTTACAAAAGGAGAAGACCCAGTGTAGTGCCCTGGAGCAATGGAACCTGGCTGAGCTGCAGCTGGGCAGGGGTCCTGGCCTCCTGTACATATGAGAGCACAGAGGAGCACCCTGTGCACCATCCTAGGACTGAGGGTGGATGGCAAGGCCTAGCCATGTATGGGCTGTGTGTCAAACCTCTGCTGTGTGTCTCTGCAGGCCCGGATGGCTGGCGAGCGAGGAGCCAGTGCTGTCCTCTTTGACATCACCGAGGATCGAGCTGCTGCTGAGCAGGTACCCACGGACATCAGGGTGTTTGAGGAGGGGCTGGATGGAGGAAGATACACTTCCCAGGGAAGGGAGAAGTCATCACAGCCCTTGGGGGTCCCCTTCTCCTCTGCAGCTGCAGCAGCCCCTGGGGCTGACGTGGCCGGTGGTGCTAATCTGGGGTAATGATGCTGTGAAGCTGATGGAGTTTGTGTACAAGAACCGGAAGGCCCATGTGAGGATCGAGCTGAAGGAGCCCCTGGCCTGGGTAAGGACTCCAGACCACCACCATGGCCTGGCACCATCATCATCTCCACTTCATCCGATGGCACTTCCCACCAGGGGCCTGCAGGCTCCTAGAGACCTTCTACTCAGTTTCGTCCCTCAGCAGAGGCAAGGTTTCCCCTTCTCTGGGCATCATCTGCTTAAGGAACAGATTGGGTCAGATGAGTTCAGAAGTTGTTTCTGGCTCTGTGGTCTCATGGCATACAGTAACAGAGCCTGCCTGACCCCGACCCCTGACCCCCCACCCCTGGCCCTTGACCCCTGGGTGGGCGCTTCTCCACTGGAATCTCACCCAGCTGCTCACTGGCAAGGTGTTCCTACCTTGCAAAGGGGTTCCTCTCCCCTCTTTGCAAACACATTTGTTTCCAGAGAACTCCCTCTCATGAGTGCCCCTGGGCAGAGAGGGACCACTTCCAAGTTCATGCCTCCCTCATCCCTCAGGTGGGATACTCAAGGGGACATCCAGCTCTCTGTGTTTCCCTTGTGCTCCTGTGTTTCCCCTCTAACTGGCCCAGTTCCTTCCTGAAGTCTGACCCTTTCCTTCTCTGTTTGTCTCCCAGCCGGACTATGATATGTGGATCCTCCTGACGGTGGTGGGCACTATCTTTGTGATCATCCTGGCTGCAGTGCTGCGTTTTCGATGTCGACCCCGCCACAGCAGACCGGTGAGCAGTGTGGGCTCCCTGGTAGAGGTGGGGATGAGGATAGGGGCCAGGAAGGAGAAAATGAGGAAGGCCAGCACCTTTATGCCCAGGAAGCAACGTACATCTCAATACCTGAGCATCTGTCTTTGTTGATCTCTAACAGCCTCTCCCCATAATGCTCATACATTCATTCATTCAACAAATATACTGAGTGACTATTGTATGCCAGGCTCTGTTCCAGGTATTGGGAATAACACAGAGAGTGAAAGCAGCCCCAGGCTCCTCCCCTCAAGGAGCTTTCATTCCAGACAATAAGCACACATTCCATTTCATTCCACACAATAAGCAAAACAAATAGGTAAAATATATACTATTTTAGATGGTATTATATACTACAGAGAAAAACAAAATAGCAAAAGGGGAGACATTACAAGAGTACAGCATTAATTTTTTTTTTGGAACCAGGAATCGAACTTGGGTCCTTCCACTTGCGAGGCAGGCGGTGGAACCACTAAGCTAAATCCCCAGCCCTACAGCATTAAGTTTTAAAAGGAAGTCCAAGGAAGGCCAGGATGTAGCTCAGTGGCGCTGTGCCTGCCTGGCAAGCGCAAAGTCCTGAGTTTGATCCCTGGTACCAATAAATAAATAAAATAAATAAAAGCAAGTTCAAGGAAAGTCACATTGAGAAAATGACATTATGGCAAAGCCACAAATGGCTGAGGGTGAGCTGCACAGGTATGTGGTGGGGGAGCAACAGGTGGAAAGAACAGTAGGTTGCAAAGGCCTTGAGATAGAGGTGTGCCTGACATGTCTGGAGAACAGTCCCAAGGCTGTGTGGCCAGGACCAAATGAGCCAAATGGAGGGCAGAATCTGAGGTAAGGTCAGAGGGTTCATGGGGGCAGTTGTATTGAACTGTTCGGGTCATTGTCAGGACTTTGTTTTGGTTTGTTCTTGTGGGGCTGAGGATTGAACCCAGGGCTTTGTGCATGCTAGGCACATGCTGTCACTGAATTACATCCTCAGGGTGAAATGGGAGCCACTGGAGAGGAAGCCACTTGAGCCAAAAGGGAGCCATTTGAGTAGAAGGGGTACCATGATCTCATTTTAAAATGACAGTTCTTTGTGTGTGTGTTTGTTTGGTCCCGGCGATTGAACCCAGGACCTTGGCACTTAGTTACATCCCCAGCCCTTTTCTGTTTTATTTAAGTTTTGAGAAAAGTTCTCCCTAAGTTGCTAAGTTGCCTGGGCTGGCCTCAAACCTGCAGTCATCCTGCCTCAGCCTCCCAGGGTGCTGGGATCACAGGTGTGTGAAACCATACTCTGTTAACATCATCAATTCTTGTCTCTATGATAACAATAGACCACAGGAGGCAAGGCTGGAAACAGAAAGCAGCCAGGAGAGAGTGTTACAGGAATCCAGGTGATAGCAATGGTGGCTTGGATTAGAGAGGTAGCATAAAAAGTAGTAAGAATAGTTACTCTGGGCATGCTTTGAAGGCAGAGTCAACAGATGTTCTCATGGATTGACTGTGGGATGTGAGAGAGAGGAGTCAAGGATGGCATCAAGATTTTTGGCTAGAGGGCCAGAGATTTAGCTTAGTGACACTGTGCCTGCCTCGCAAGCGCAAAGTCCTGAGTTTGATAGCCGGTACAGGGGGCGAAAAAATGAAAAAAGATTTTTGGCCCTGACAAAGACAATGACAAGAATGAAATTGTCATTTGTGAGATGGAGGGGGCAGATGTGTGGTTGGGGATGGCTAATGGGATTAGAGGTTCAGTATGGGGCATGTTAAAGTTGAAATGTCTCCTGGATAGCCCAGCTGAGATGTCAAGTAGCAGTTGGATAAAAAGTTTCTCTCCTGGCTTGTTGACAGAAGAAAAGCTTAATGGGATGAGCAGGGATTGGGCAGAGCATGTAAGAGCTCTGAAGAGATAAATTCCTAAGGGTCCCCAACTAGCTGTGTGACATAACTGAGTGATGGGAAGTGAGTCCAAACTGGGCCCTGGGCAAGAGGGAGAGGAGTCCCTGCCCCATCTTGAGTTCCACTCCTCTTCCCAGGATCCCCTTCAGCAGCGAACAGCCTGGGCCATCAGCCAGCTAGCCACCAGGAGGTACCAGGCCAGCTGCAGGAGGGCTCGGGCCGAGTGGCAGGACTCAGGTAGCAGCTGCAGCTCAGCCCCTGTGTGTGCCATCTGCCTGGAGGAATTCTCTGAGGGGCAGGTAAGGCAGGCTTTGTAATTCACCCCCACAACCAGCCAGGGAGGGAGGCTGGGGCAGGGGTGGGCAGGCCTGGAGCTGGTATGGGTGTCCTGGCTACATCTGTGTCCTGTGTTCCTGTGTGGGACAGGGGCAAGGAATGGCCCTGAAATTTGGTCACTTTCCTAGCCCTCTAGGGAAAGGGCACTATTGTTTGTTGAGAAGGAACTGTATGCCATCCAGGCCATAGTGGTACTTTCAATGCATTATCTCATTTTAGCCTCATGTGAGGGGTGGGGGCAGATTAGTTTTTTATCCTTGTTTTACAGCTGAAAACTGTTAAGAAATGTGCCCAAAGTCATGCAGCTAAGTGGCAAAATTCAAATCCACCTTTTGCAAGTAGGTGAATGCAGGAAAGAAAGGCCAAAGGGAGTCAGGGAAATAGTCTAGTCCTGCTACTCTTGTGGCCACAGACACCTTTGGTTTGGATACCCTTATTTTCTCCAGGAGCTCCGGGTCATTTCCTGCCTCCATGAATTCCACCGAACCTGCGTGGACCCCTGGCTGCATCAGCATCGGACTTGTCCGCTCTGCATGTTCAACATCGTAGGTAGGACCTGGGCCAAGGACCTCCCTGTGTGCAGGCAGGCAGGTGTAGAACACGGCTTCCCCCTGGGAAAGGGTCTCTGCTGTGACACTGGGGATAGAACTGCCACCACAGTCATTTCAGCTGTGCACTGCTCAAGAGTGTCTCATCTGAGGGGGAGGGCTGTTCACATCATACACATCTTTATATCTTAAAAATTATTTGTATTTTTATGACAACTTTGTTGATTCTAAACAAAGATTTCAATGATTTATATGTTCATTATTTCAATTTCCTGGCAATTAATCACCCTATTTGAACAAAATCAGTATATGTGACAATTTTCTAAAACATGAAAGTGAAATAATATCTTGAAAAAGAGAACCATTTGCTAATTTACCTAAAGGTACAGTACAGGCTAGGAGTGGGCCTGAGTAATGGAACCCCAGATGGCTGATGGAGGAGGGGATTGACCATTCAGTGGGACTCTTAGGGCAGGCAGCCTGACTGGAGGTACCAAGGGAGTCCCAGGCACAGGCAAGCTAGGGATGACTTTGGTCCCCCAAACTGAGCTTATGGCTCTGCAGGGTCGAATAGCCTAGCTACACCCACACCCTTCTGACTGCATTCTCCATCCTGTGGAGTCAATCAGCTGTGCTTTTGGTTTTGTTTTCCAGAAGGAGATTCATTTTCCCACTCCCTGGGACCCTCTAGATCTTACCAGGAACCGGGCAGGAGACTCCACCTCATTCGCCAACATCCTGGCCATGCCCACTACCACCTCCCTGCTTCCTACCTGTTGGGCCCTTCTCGGAATTCAGGAGCTCGGCCACCACAACCTAGACCTTTCCTACTATCCCAGGAGCCAAGCATGGGCCTTCGGCATCAACGCCTCCCCAGAGCTGGAGCTGCACATCTCCGAACTTTAGGCGAGCAGCAGCGCCTGGCAGTGGCCCAGCACCCCCACGCACAGGGCCGGGGGCCAAGCCGCCTCCGATGTACCTCTCAGCATCCCACAGCTTGTGTGGTGCCCCTGCGCAGGGCCAGGCCTCATGACAGCAGCGGGTCTGGAGAAAGCTACTGCACAGAACGCAGTGGCTACCTAGCAGATGGTCCAGCCAGTGATTCCAGCTCGGGGCCCTGCCATGGCTCTTCCAGTGACTCAGTGGTCAACTGCACGGACGTCAGCCTGCAGGGCATCCATGGCAGCAGTTCTACCTTCCGCAGCTCCCTGAGCAGTGACTTTGATCCCTTGGTATACTGCAGCCCTGAAGGGGATCTTCACAAGGAGGGGACACAACCTAGTGTGACCTCTCGACCCCGTTCCTTGGACTCAGTGGTACCCACAGGGGAAACCCAGATCTCTAGCCATGTCCACTGCCACCGGCACCGGCACCATCACTACAAAAAGCGGTTCCAGTGGCATGGCAGGAAGCCTGGCTCAGAAACTGGGGTCTCCCAATCCAGGCCTGCTGCTTCTCGGACACAGCCTCAGCCAGAGCTACCTTTTCCCAATCAGCAAGTCACCAAATCCAACCCAGCAACCCCTTCAGGACAGTTCCCCAACCCACAGCGGTCCAGGGCCCTCACAGAGCCAGCCCCTGGCCCAGCTGAAGCTGCCAATCCAACCCCCAGTCCCAGTAGTCACTTGCAGAAATCCAGCCTCCCCATCCGACACACACAGAGAAAACGGCGGGGTGGTCCCTCAGAGCCCACGCCAGCCTCTCGGCCCCAGGACTTGACTGTGCACCCAGCTTGCCAGATGTTCCCCCATCACAACCCCAGCCTGGCATACCCTTGGCCCCCAGAGGCCCACCCATTGATCTTCAGACCTCCAGGCCTGGAGAGGAGGCTGCTACCAGAAGCCCCAGGCCCTTGTTACTCAAGTTCACAGTCAGTGTGGTTGTGTCTGAATCCACGCCAGCCTCTGGGACCACATCCACTCGGGGAGGGGCCTTCTGAGTGGAGTTCCGACACCCCAAAGGGCAGGCCATGCCCTTACCCACACTGTCAGGTGCTGCCAGCCCAGCCTGGTGAGTTTTCAGGGGAAGCAGGTGTGGTAGGAGAAGACTAGACTAGACTCGAGCTCGATATTGGAGGACAGGTGAAGTCAGCCAACACGGGGTTGATAGAAGCTGAGATGGATATACCAGAGGTGACATTCAAAGTATGGAACAACCAGCAGAGCATAGTATGTTGGTTGGAGCATCTCAGCTCTGCTGGGTGCTGCCCCTTTAGGTGCCGGATCATGAAAAGGGTGGGAGGGTGGTACTGGTATGGCTGAGGCATCAGAAAGGCACTCGAGATGGTTTGGAGCAGCAGCTCAAACCTAGATGCTTCAATACTTCAATAAGCAGTACAGCTCTAGAGATGCTCACAGCTCATTATCTCTAAATACGAAGAAGGCCAAGAAGCGATCCTTGGGGAGAGCATGATCTAATAAGAGACATAATTACAGATAACCATGAGAATAGGCCATCTGGCTACGAGTGATGAAAAAATTTGAAATCATAGGTGGTTCCCAGCTACCCTGGGGATCCTTAGGTTTTGGTAAAAGAACAATTAAGTACTCTTATTAATAGTAAGACCAACCTTTTCTTGGGCACTTGGTGCTTCCCTGCATTACAGCCAATGGTGACCATGCAAATTCTCAGCTTTAACACAAAGTTTTGGGTGTTTATTTGCCCAACGATTCTTCCCTGTCCAGGGCCCTCCACCTCCCACTCTTCCCATCTTCTTCCACTGTGTGAATGATAGTGCTCTTTGACTGTAGCCACTGCTAGAGAACCCTCCCAACCAAAAGAGGACCCAGAGGTCCTACATAGAAGGCCTCACAGACTAGGAATCCTACAGGCCAAACCTGAGAGTTTCTGTCATTCATTCATTTATTTTCTCCCTCCTGTTTGCATGCTTGCTATATGCCAGGTTCCAGGCTAGGGTCTGAGGATGTGGAATTCTCTAAAGAGATTCAGGTCTGTGGGGAGATAGGCATGCAAACAGTTATGGTGTATAAGATACTTGCTTCTAAAAGCCATGTGATGCAAGCTCTGGTGATGTGTGTAATGGTTCCATGTGGACCCTGTCACGTTGGGCAGGGGCCACCCTTTGCTCCTAAACTAAGAACTAGTTTCACTGCCTTCCTTCTCCTTTCTCCTCACATCCACTCAGTACCAGATTCTCTGTTAGTTTTATCATATTCTCCTCAAGTTCAGTACTGATGGCCCCTGCCCATGTCAGAGGAGACAGCCTAAAGGTCAGTGTGGGACCTCCTAGCTCTTCCCTTCCCGCTTAAAGGGCCATGAAGGCCGGGAGCTGCACATCCAGTGTGGAGTCCGAGGAGCTGGGCAGCACAGCTCCCCTGCCCTCCATATTGCTACTAAACTCATCCACTTCACAACAAACTGTCTAGAGATCTCCAAATGTCCTGTTTTGCACACAGTGAGGAAAAACCCAACCTGGGTTGGCTGTCAAGGGTTCATCACCAACTAGCTGCATCTTTCTTCCCAATCTTTTTTTCCACACCTCCCTTGCTCTTTCTCTGCCTTATGCTTTAGTCAAACTAGGTAAATACTTCTTGCACTGTAGCCCAGAATATCCTGCTGCCTTCCCTATTCCTATAAATCAATTCTTACCTAAACCTGTAAAAATAACTTATAAACCCTCATTCCAGGAGGCCTTCCCTGGTTGCTGCACTTTAACATGGGTCTCTCCCCTTCCTCTGTACATCTCTTAGGACTGCAGTCCTGTCCCACTTGCATATTGGCCATTTGCATGCATCCCTTCTTTCCTACAAAGTTGTCAAGTTCCTGCTTATTCTTTTGGGGCTTCTGTTTGGCAAATGGTAGCAGGCCAAACTCACAGTGAGTGCTTAATAAATATTTATTGGATGAATGAATGAATAGTAAGTATTGGTAACATACCACATGCTGTATATCTTTCTCTAGATTTCTCTCCTGTCTCCCAAAGGGGCCTCACTCAGCTTTTAATCTAATCCCCTTTACAGACACATTCCCTGCTCCTCCCTTTCTGTGGTCCCCTCCTGCAACATGCCACAGGTGAGAGCAGAAGCCTGGCCTGATCTTCAATGACCTCTTCTCTCCCCTCTCTATACAGGCTCGGAGGAGGAGCTTGAGGAGGTGTGTGAACAGGCTGTGTGAGATGGTCAGGCCTACCTCTGACAAGAGTGTGCTCCGATGACTCAGGGTCCTACCAGGCACAGAGTCCTGCACCTAGGAGAAGAAAGGATCTCAGCAAACACCTCGATTTTTGCCATTCTTCCTGGAACCACTGGAAGAGGAGAAGCGATGGTGGGTGGCAGGAGGTGCTGTCTCCCGTCCTGGCTCCAGACCTTGTCTGCAGAACACACACCTGCAGCAACTCTGTGTCTCAACAGGCACCGGCTTCTGCCTGTGTGCATCTATGAGTTGCATCCCTGAAGGCTGAGTGAGGATAGGAAGCTAGGTGTGGGTAGCTAGGTGTTACAAAGGTGCTGCTCCTTCCCGCTGCCCTCCCAGGTCTCCCTTCCCCAGACCTCATGATCTTACTAGCCAGTGGGTTCAGCTGAATGCGGGATCTCTTCTTAACTTCTTCCTCCAGTGAGCTCTGCACACCAGTTCTGGCTCCTCCCTGCTAAGGCTGCATCAGGGGCAACCTTGGCTTGATACTGTCATTTTCCTTCCTTGCAAAAGGACCAAGAGGATAGGTGAGCCCTGACCCCTAGTAAGGGAGGTCTCTGCAGGCAGTGCCTGCCCTGGTACACAAAGGAGGCTGTCTCCCCCTTCTTGTCCTTTAATTGCTCTTAAATTGTCAGATCCACATGGTTAAGTCCGAGTTGGACAGAAGGCAGGGCATAGAGTTTTGTCCTTAGGTGGGGGCAGCACCTTAACTAAGCTGGGATGATGCCTTTGATCTCCAGTCTCCCTCATTATCCCTGTGGTCCCAGCTCCTCTGTGGGGGGGAAGCAGAGGGAGTGGGGAGGGAATAACTTCCTTGGAGATCTCCTGTGTCCAAGTCCAAAGGGGGCAAAAAAGAGAGACTTTCTTCTGGACTTCAGCTGGGAAGAGAGGAGATGGAATGAAAGTGGAAAAGGCAAAATTACAGCTGAGCAAGGACAACAAAGTTCTTCTCTGAGAGAAGTTTTGTCTCAGGGGGAGAACAAAGGAAAAACTAAGTGCGACCCTTTGGGTTTTGCCCAGCTCCCCAGTATAAGCCATACAAGGCAGGCCAGGGGCCCAACTGGAAGGTGTGCCCAGAGTGGACCGGGAGCAGAAGCTGGTCTGGGAGGCCTGTATGGAGTGGGCAAGGACTTAGGGTCTTCCTTAGGGTGACATTCACCCCAGGGCATCCTGATCATTGCTAGCCCCTCAGGCACTATCCTTTGCCTAGAATGTGAATGTGGGGGCAAAGTGGGCATAGGATCCTACTTGGGAACCTTCTTCCCTCAAATCAGTGGGGAGACTAGCACCCAGGCACCCACATGGGTATTTATATCTGAACCAGACAGAAAGAGGCTTGAATCAGGCACTATGTTGAAAAATGTATTTATTTGCTAATATATTTATCCATAAATGCGGTCTGGACTTGTGGTTTTGTTTTGTCATGGCTGTCACTCAGGGTAACAACTTCTTTCTCCATCGAGAGAAATAAATTATTTCTGACATCAGAGGCTAGTTCCTGATTTACAAAAGGATAGGGTAGAGTGATGGGCTTGGCAATGAGAATTTTTAAGCCCATAAAAGCATGACTTCAGGAGACTAGGAAAGGAAAGAGCACACTTGGATTATCACTGTGGTTCAGTCATATTATCTGTTACTACACTTTCGGTTTTTTTTTTTTTGGTACCGGAGATCGAACTTGGGACCTTGCGCTTGCAAGGTGGGCACCAGAACCACTGAGGTAAATCCCCGGCCCTGTTATTTCACTTGTTAGGAGTCTTCAGTGACTTACTTTGTGACCTTACACAGGTATCCTGCACCTCACTTTTTCCATCCATAAAATGGGCCTAGTACATGGAATCCATGCAGTGCTTACGTAAGATAGCACAGAGTGAAAATGTGTTTCAAAATGGAAAGTTATTATTCACAGAAAAAACATCCAAACCTGTCAGCAACCCCATCTGGACACAGTATGGGACAGGCCACAAGAAGACAGCCTGCCTTGAAGAAGCTCAGTTCCAATCAGAAGGCTGGCAGGAGGGACAGAAGAGCAGAGACTGAAACTATTTATATTCCGAAGCTCCAATTCAGATAAACAGACTGCACTCTGCCTACACACCAAGAAAGCTGGTGCTCTGTTGGTATGAATTTCTTGGGGTAGCAGCGCATGGTAGCACATGCCAGTAATTCCAGCTGGTTCCAGCTGAGCTTAGGCAGGAGGATATCAAGTTCGAGGCCACCCTGAGTCATTTAGCAAGACCCTGTCTCAAACATTTTTAAAAGGGCTGAGGACATAGCTCAGTGGTAGAGCACTTGCCTGGCATGCTCAAGGCCTTGGGTTCAATCCTCGCACTGAGAAAAAAATGTCCCCCAGTGTCAGGAGAGGTCTCTGCTCTCTTCCTCACACTGCAATTTCTCCCGCTGCTTCAACCCCAGAAGGACTGGCAGGGATGCTGGTTTTCAGTGCCTAGTTTAGAAAGAGAACAAGGAATCTAGCTTCCCAGGGTGCAAAGGAGGGACGGTAATCTACAAATGTTAAGTAAAAAAAATAAAATAAAATAAATAAAATGCCTGTCTAAATGTTAAGAGCGGCACAAAGTTATACAGAAGGCGCAAAAGTAAAGCGCTTTTACGAACTGAATAACATTTTTCTTGCGGCCAGCCAGCTCGCAGGCCAACATTCCTGTGCACTGCAAAGCGAAGCCTTATAGTGCTTTCACAGTTATGAAGGTGGCATGGGGCCGTCTCCAGACTGTCTTCAGTCTGTGCAGAGATAATCTAGAGGGAGACATGGAGTCACTACTATAGCGCTCTTAAAACAAGACAAAAATCTAGGCTATGACCAGGGCTCCTTCTAAGGGCATCGCGGCTTAGAGCGAGCGGTCAACATCAAACGGACTAGAGCTCCCGCCACGTTTCTGGCTCGGCGTGCTTCTGCGCAGGCGCCGGCCATCGCTCCGCCCCGCCCCCACTGGACCAGCAGACTGGCGCAACGGCCGCCTCCGCCTCTCTCGCGCCCTGGCTCAGGTGCAGGGCGCGCGCCGACCAGGTGGCTGCTGGCTGCCACACCTCCTTTCCCAGGCGGGAGAAACCATCTTCTCCGGCGGGGGGAGGGGCGGGGCCGGCGCCTTGCTACACCGGAAGAGGAAGTCTAAGGCCCCGGAAGTGGATGGCATTCTGGGTAATGAGCTGTTTACTTCCTGCGGGTGTGGAGGTTGTGGCTGAGTGCCCTGCTGCTCTTCGTATCGAAGAAGATGGCCCTGGAGACGGTGCCAAAGGACTTGCGGCATCTGCGGGCGTGTTTGCTGTGTTCTCTGGTCAAGGTGGCTATTGGGGACCTGGTTGTACGGGCGATGGAGAGGCACAGAGTTGAGGAAAGAGGGTGGGATGGGGTAGGACAGAGGAAAGAAAAATTCAGGACTCCGGGAGGTGGCGAGGAGGGTGGGAAATCGAATGAAGCCATTGTTTACGTCGCGGAAACGCGAGCAGGTCTTGCAGTTGAGGGCTCGAGCATCTCGCATGCCTTTGAATCCCAGCTTTCAACACAAAAGTTCCCCAGCAGAACTTATGCCGGATCTAAAAGACATTGAGAGCCGGAGCGGAGTGGAGATCTGCAGCTGAGAGTATTCGGAGAGGGTGCCAGACTTCGAGAAAATTAGAGAAGAGAAAGACCAGGCGGAATTGGAAACAAAAGAGGAAGGAGTGGGAGGGTAGGACTTCGGAATGGTGCCTTGGGAGCAGCAGGTAGGGGACATGATGAGACAGAGACAACATAGAGAACCAAGAGGTTGACCCTTTTTCTTTTGGCCTTGTTCATGCTCACCTTTTCCCTTTTTTTTTTTATCCCCTTCTCAGACTATAGACCAATTTGAATATGACGGTTGTGATAATTGTGATTCATACTTACAAATGAAGGGTAACCGAGAGATGGTATATGACTGCACCAGCTCTTCCTTTGATGGGTAAGCTCCTTCAGATTTCTTCATTCAGTGTGCCTCACCTCATCCTACACCACCTGACCTCAATATGAAGGAGGCTTTCACGGCTATAATCACAATTGGTTTCAACAATTATTTTGAGATGTAGTAGTCCTATGGATCCTGTCCTGTAGTCACTAGCTTCATGCATCTATCAAGCACTTGAAACATGGTTAGTCCAAATTAGAATATGCTTTAAATATAAAATACACTCCAGATTTCAAGGACTTTGCATAAGAAAAAAGTGTAAAATAATATTATTTTTAAGTTATGTTTTGGGGGCCAGGGATTTAGCTCAGTGGTTCCACCGCCTGCCTTGCAAGCTAAGGACCCGAGTTCGATCTCCGGTACCAAAAAAACAAAAACAAAAACAAGTTATGTTTTGGATTTATTGGGCTCAATGAAATATTGAAATTAATTTTATCTTTCTGTCTTTAAAAATGTGGCTATTAAAAAATTAAAGTGATGTTTGCTTTTACTGTATTTCCACTGCTTCACTAGTTTGCCAGCTCATTGATGGTAGCACTGGGTGTTTATCTTGTGCATCTGTAGCTGGCACAATACCTGGAAGTCTAGGTGCTTAATAAATTATGAGGGGTTGAGGGTGTAGTTCAGTGGTAGAGTGCGTGTTTAGCATACATGAAGCCCAGAGTACAGTCCCCTGTATCTCCCACCAAATATTGAATACATGAAGCTACTTTTTGAAAATGAAGAGAAGGGAAGGTATGGTGTAGGTAGATTACTGCCTCAAAGCTGATGATCTTGATGAGGGCCTCTCAAAAGTTTCCTTTGGCAAAATTGTCCAGTGGCTAGAAGGGGAAATGAGAGAAGCATAACTGGCCAGGTCTTACTTTTTCTCAAGGTAGCAGCCAGAGGACAGTATTGGGGGAGTGGGGAGTAAGGAGGTACTACTAAAATTCTTTTTGTCTCTAGGCCAAGTAAGGGTTTACAGAAAACTATACTTAAACGTATGCTTTGCTGAAGTTCTTTCAAGGTGAGCCAACTCCATTTCTCTTTTGATTTCCTTAAGAAAGAATAAGGGATTGGGCAAAAAAGATGTTGGCATGGAACTTTACTTCCTGCGAAGTACATACTCAAATACTCTGGTCCCTTTGGTCCTCCATTTAGCCCTATACCATTCAGTGCTAACAAATGAATGATGGGACTCCCCATCTGTGAGTAAAGTGCCTGCTTACTGCTATTAGAGATAGAAAGAGTTACACGGTAAGATATTAATAAGAGAACAGTGTGAAGTTTTACCAGTCTCTGAATTTGACTTCCCCGGGTACCTCATGATTGAATCATACAATGTTTGTCCTTTTTGACTGGCTTATTCAGCACATAGCATAATGTCTTAAAGATTCATCCACACCATAGCATATGTCAAATTGTCCTTTGTTTTTAAAGCTGAATATTTTAGTGCATGTGTATACACTAGTCATTCATCCATTGATCACTTGAGTTGATTCTTTCTTTGACTATCATAAATAATACTGCCATTATCATCAATGTACAAATTATTTAAATTCCTGCTTTCCATTCTTTTGGATATATATCCAGAAGTAAGATTGTTAGATCATAAGATAATTCATTGTTTAATTTTTGGCTGATTTTTTTGGTACCGGGGATGGAACTTGGGCCCTTGAGCAACAACTGAGCTAAATCTCTGGCATTGTTTAATTTTTATGAGGAACAAAAAACAGCGATAAAGTGTTCCAGTTTCTTCCCCTCCTCACCAACTTTCATTATTTTCTCTTTATTTGGGTTTTTTTTTTTTTTTTTTTTTTTTTAGTACTGGGGATCGAACTCGGGTCCTTGCACTTGTGCAGCAAGAGGCAAAACCACTGAGCTAAATCCCTGGCCCTATTTGGTTGTTTTTTATTAGTAGCCTTTCTGATACGCTAGTATGGTTTTTGTTTTTATGATAGCCATCCGAATGGATGTGAATTGGTATCTTGTGGTTTTGATTTGGATTATTTATGTTAAGCATCTTATGTGCATATTGTCTATTTGGACCCTTTGCTCATTTTTGAATGTGGTTGGTTTTTGTTGTTGAGTTGTAGGACTTGTATATTCTAGTGCATATTAGGTTTTAAAGAGTAGGCAAATGAATTCAGAGAAATTCAGAGAAAGGATAGATGACTTAGCCAGAAATGGAGGAGGTAGCATTCTTTCCTCTTAAAGAAACAAGTATGTATAGGATATTTTTTTGTAAGTTGAGAGAGGTAGAATGTTCCAAATAAAGGAGTGATTGGAGTGAAGGCACAGAGTGGGAAAAACCAAGGTATGTTTGGAGAACAGTGGGAATTGTTTAATTTAAATCTGCTGGGTAATAGGTACTATAAAGCTTAAAGGGTAGATTGTGAAGGATAGAGCCTAATACACTTGTGCTGGGAGCCTGGCCTTCATGCACCTATCCCAGGTCAGCCTGCAGGGCCAGTTGGCCATTGTTATCCTACTTGTAACCCCAGAGGTAAGGTTATTTCTACTTAAAGGTCATGGATGAGGAGTCTTCCCCCAAATAAGAATCAAAGATTGTTGCCAAGAGAACAGGGAATGGTGTGGAGGAGCCAACCAACAAATGTCAGTGCCTAGAAACCGACCGTATGCAATAGGCAGTCAGGAAGAATTTTATCACGTGCATAAATAACAAAATGTCTCTGTAGGCTCTGATAGCACCTGATGCTGATCCACCTTGCCTAAGTAGTGGGTATATAGCCCTAGAATAGCCTTTGTGTTACCATATTCTAGAATTGGGGCTACCTGAGAAGGATTATTAGGATAACTAATAAGGAGAGCTAAAGCCTACCTAGCACCTACTCTGTGCTACATAGATGCTGTCATGTATTATTTTATTTCTTTATTTATTTTTGGTGCCGGGGATTGAACTTGGGACCTTGCGGTTGCGAGGCAAGAATGTCATGTATTATTTTAACCATTGAGTCTCATTTTACTGATAAAATTCTGTGAGAGGAATCCATATGTACTGGAGATTGCACAGCTCATTAGAGGAAGGGCCTGGCCAAGTCTAAGTCATTTCTGCAGAAGGATCCATCGTTTTGACTCACTGTGGTCTTTGCACTAGGCCCAGTCCCCCAGGGGTTTTGGTTGTAATTAGTAGTACAGGACATCCATTACTAAAGCTGTCCCATCTCTTGGGGAACCTGCACACAAAAGGATGTTTTGGTGAAGTAATCTTTTAGGATAGTAACTGACTTCTTACTGGAAAGCCAGGGACATAAGAACAAAGAACTTTTTCCAGTCTTAGCTTTGAGTCAACTCTTTCTTAACATTAGAACTGCCGTTTTCCCGGTTTTCTGGGGAGTCTTGGTACCTCACTATCCAGGAATCCTCTCCCAGAACTTGTGCTAACTGAGCAGCTCTCAGTCTGGGCTGACGCTCCATTTCTTTTCCCTCCCTAGAATCATTGCCATGATGAGTCCAGAGGACAGCTGGGTCTCCAAGTGGCAGCGAGTCAGTAAGTGTCTCCCTTTCTTCCTGTCCAGGCCTGTGGAGTGTTGCTGCGGTATTATGGTGCTTCCAGGCCAGTGGGGGTCGTAAGACAGCAGAGTGGGAAAGAGGGCTACAGGAAAGACAGAGAAGCTGGGTCCTGTGCGCTGTTGCCAAAAGAAGTGATGGTCTTTAGTCTTAACTCATTCCCACTACAATGTCCTTTCTTCTCTCTCAGGTAACTTTAAGCCAGGTGTATACGCGGTGTCAGTCACTGGTCGCCTGCCCCAAGGTAATAACAGTCATGTTAACAGCCAAGGTTTAACTGTCTCAAGCTCTGTGGAAGTCAGAACTCTTACGAGGTTCTGCAGTGTACAGATGAGCAAACTGAAGTACAGAGAAGTTATATAACTTGCCTCATGTCACCAGGCCTTTTGACTCCAGAACCCTTGCTTTTCATGACTGCATAAGTCCCTCTTTTCTGCCTTCTTGGTTTGCCAAGCACTTGCTTGGATCTTCAGTGGTAACAAACCGTCAGGCAGGACTCTTTTTTCTTTTGGTACCAGGGATCAGACTTGCAGGCAGGACTTTGATGAGCAGTCTAGGAGCTGCAGTTTGCTTATAGCCTCTCTTCACGGTGGCAGATAAAGGCTTTTCTTATCCGCCTGAATCTTCCCTCATGGAGCTGTTTCTTTTCATGCCACAGGAATCGTGCGGGAACTGAAAAGTCGAGGAGTGGCCTACAAATCCAGAGACACAGCTATAAAGACCTAGCAAGATGCAGGGCTGCCAGCATCTTTGCTCTCTACCTCCTGCCTCTACCTGTTTTTGGTTGTTGGACTGAACAGGCAGGCTTCAAACACTCCCTGCCCTCCATCTTGGAGAATCAGTGTACTGTTGAGAGAGCAGCTTCCTGTCCCTGGACTTTCACTTCTTCGGACTACTTACTGGTGGAGGTGGGAGGGTTTGGGCTGGTGGATTCACAGAGACTGAATTGAGGGGAGAGTAGGATGTTGGTTTTCCTATCCACACCCACGGACAAGACTCTGGATCAAATACCAATAAACATGAACCCCTGAAAATTTCTTAAAGCCTTGACACATGCCTTGCCTCCACTTCCCTTAGTGGGGCACAGTCAGGGTTCCTTTGCTCTGTAAGCACTGTTCCAGCACAGCAGAGACCCTTTTGCTCCTGTTGCTGGGCCTCCAGGGCTGCAGCCTATTAAATCTGTTTGCTTGGGCCCTGTTGAAAGGCCTGCTGTCCTGGGTGAGGGGATCCTCAGTGTGGTAGTCCTGGTGTCCAGTAGTCGTGTCTTTCTGCCTTCTAGATCTGGCATAGAAGTCTTGCTTGAAGAAATCAAAATCTGTAGGTGGCTTTGTGCTCATGGCCCTTTAACCTTTTTTTTTGTTGTTGTTGGTACTGGGGATCGAACTTGGGTCCTTGAGCTTGCACAGCAGGCGGCAAAACCACTGAGCTAAATCCCCGGCCCGGTTAACCTTTCTTTTTTGACAGGGTCTTGCTATGTAGTTCAGACTGGCCTTGAGCTTCAACTATGTAGCCCAGCGTAATCTTGAACCCACTGTGATCCTCCTGCCTCAGTTTCCTGAGTGCTGGCATTACAGGGGTGTGCCACCACGCCTAGCCCTTAACCAGTTTAATACTTTTCCCCCTGCTTTGTTTTTGTTTTCTTTTTACTGCCCTTCCTACATCTTTGTACTGCATTTCCTACATTTTATATTTCCTTCACTGGAGACCTTCAGGCCTTAGGTGACTGTTGGGTCTTGGTCTAGGTGATTTGGGCCTGTCCTTGGCCTGTTAAGGGCCCTTGAATAATGAATGTCACATTGGCCAAAGTGCATTGTTTCAGATTTAAAAATTTACTGTAGTCTCATTTACTTAAATTTTCACAGAAATTCTAGTAGTACCACCATTTTGATTTTTCTCGTGAAATGGGAGTGATTACACCCTACCTCCTGTTTGCTTCAGAATTGTGATTAGAAATAAAGCAGTGTGAAAATCCTATAAGTTTTATAAAAGGTAAAATTCATGTGTTCCTTTTATTATTGCTCTTACCTCCATATGCACAAAATAGGCACCATCAGTCAGATCAGGGGGTGCCTGGGACCCCAGCCCCAGGGTGAGCTCTGGCTCAGCAGAGGAGCTGCTGGTAGCATTGTGCCTCGAAGCCAGCTGGTGCTGCTAGTGAGTCAGTCTCAGGTTACCTGTGCTGGCCTGTGGGAGGGAATAGATGCTGGCTCCCCTGTCCTTTCCTGGGGACTGGCTGTGTTGCTCATGCTCTCTCACTGGTCCTCCTCAGGCCAGAGCCACCTCACTGGTGCCTCCAAGCTGTAAGGGAATGGCCTGTTTTTGGTTTTTTTTGGTACCGGGGATCGAACTTGGGACCTTGTGCTTGTGAGGCAGCAGAACCACCAAGCTAAATCCCCGGCCTGGGAATGGCCTGTTAATGCCAGTTCCAAACATCTTTCAGGGGCTTCCCCGGCCCCGAAAACTGAAAGTGCCGTGATGGTGCTTTCTCTTGTATTTCAGTCTGAAAGGAACCTTGCCCAGCAGCCCTGCCAGGCTAGAGCTTCCATCCTGGAGAGAAGAAATAGCTTTCAGCAGGAGTGCCTGGCCACGTAGCCAACGCCCAACTTTCACTGGCTTCTCAAAAAGCCCCCTGGAAAGCCCCAGCTGCTGTCCTGTGTGTCTGACCCGGACGTAGCTGCTTGGTGAGAATGGAAACAGTTGTGGGGAGGGGAGGTAAGGAGAGCCCTGCACAAATAACCACATAGGGCTGCCTCGGTCCCACACTGAGCAGGGCCCTAACTGTCGATCTCACAGGAAGCAAGACAGGCGCTGATGGTCATGGGGGAGGGGGCTCGGTGCAGCTCTGCTTGGGAGCCGCTTCTGAATTTTGTCTATGTGTTCTGGATGTTGAACCAGGGAGCTACATCCTCAGTGCTAAAACTTTGTTTTTTGAGACAGGGTCTCACCATGTAGTTGAGGCTAGCCTTGAACTTGTGATCTTCCTGTTTCAGCCTCATGAAGGCTAAGATTACATACATGTGCCACCACACCTGGATTGCTCAGTCTCTCTTTTTTGGTATTGGGGATGAACCCAGTGCGTTTGCACTGAGCTACATCCCAGCATTTTTGTTGTTTTGTTTTGGAGGACAAGGTCTCGCCGAGTTGCTCTCTCTGGGCTCAAACTTGTAATCCTCCTGCCCCATAGTCCCCAGTAGCTGGAATTACAGGTATGCACCACCATCCTGGGTCTGAATTGCTTTTCTGCCTTCTCTGGAACTTGAACCTGCATGTACTGGCACTTAGCACCTTGGGCAGTAAAGTGCTAGAGTCCCAGCTACTGGGAGCCCAAAGAAGGAGCCCAAAGACAGGGACTTGGTTCCGATGCTCTCTGAGGGTGGGTGGGGTCTCAAGTGCTGGTTCTGCTCCCCTGAGACCCACATCCACTAGGGCTTTGTCCTGCCTATTGTGTCTTAATTTCAGCCCCGTTCCAATTGCCAAGGTTCTGAGTCTGCCCAGGGTTTTAAGAGTCCCTCCTGGTCTCTTGCTCAGTAGTTTGACCTCTCTACTTTATTTTTATTTTTTTCCTTAAATTCTTTTATTGGTACATTTTAGGTACACAGTACATTTACATTTCTCATTGGGAATTTGTACCTTTACATGATGTATCTTGGTTCTTATTTTTTCCCCATTCCCTGTCCTCCCTTCACCCCCTCCACCCTTCCCTATTTACATAGACTTTGTTTCCATTTTTTCCTTTTATCATAATTTTTCCTTTCCCTTCTTTCCTTTCCCCTTCCCCTACCTCTTTGGACCTTTTCTTCCTATTTCAAATTATCAATTATTGATTTTAATCATTTTAATCCTTATTTACACTTTCAGTTTCTCACACTAGAGAAACTATTTGGTATTTACACATGTGTGTCCTATTTATTTCACTTAAGAGTATCACTTCAATGTGCATCCATTTAGCTATAAATGTCTCTAGTTTGTCGTTCTTTTTTTTTTTTTTCTTGGTGCCGGGGATCAAACTTGGATCCTTGTGCTTGCAGGACAGGCGGCAGAACCACTGAGCTAAATCCCTGGCCCTAGTTTGTCATTCTTTATGGCTGAATAGTACTCCATTTTATTAAAAAACCACATCTTCTTTATCCAGTTTCCAGTTGATGGGTATTTGGGCTGTTTCCAAGCTTTAGCTATTACAAACTGTGCTGCTATAAACATGGGTGCACATGTATCGCTGTGGTATGATTCTTTTAATTCTTTTGGGAAGATGGCCAGCAGGGGAATAGCTGGGTCAAATGGGACCTCTAGTCCTAGTTCTTTGAGGTATCTCCATACGGATTTCCACAGTGGTTGCACCAGTCTGTACTCCCACCAACAAGGGCAAGGCTGCCCAGTTCAATAGGTCAGACTCAGGTCAGATAAAAGATGAAAAGCAGTAACAGCCAGGCGACCTTCCCCTTGCCTGCCTATTCCTCTTTCTACTATAACTACCAAATGCTTCAGAGTTAGGGTCTCCCAAAAATTGAGAGGCGAGGTGGCAGTGCATTGATGACTACAGCCTCTAGCCCAACCAAGCACTGAGAGGTGATAGAGTAAGGGCCTTAGAAGAGAGCAGTTTTCCCAAGAATAATGATGACAGATTGGCAAGGGCCTAGGCTTAGACTGGGCTGATGAGGTTTGGGGACTGAACCCTGGCTCTTGCTGGGGCCACTACCTTAGCACTCCCAGCCTGTCTGTATCCTGCTACTCAGTCCTCAGTGCCCTCCCTGACATCTCATCCCTGTGTGTGCGTAAGAGAGACCAGGAGGTAAAAGGTAAGGGCAGACTAATGCAAGTGTGGCTTGTGTTTAGTATCAGTAAACCCTTTCATTTAAATAGCATTTTGAAGTTGACAGAGGGTATTCACATTATCATTTGATCCTCACAAAACCCCTGAGACACAGTTGACACCCTTATTTAGCCGTGAGGAGATAAGCTTAAAGTGGCATGGCTGCGATGAAGTAGTGGAGTCTTAGCTTGAGAAATACAATGCCCACACCCAGTTTGGGGCTGTTGTTTCCCACAGACCTAACCCCAGACACAGCAGCTTTGCTCCCTTTGTGAATGTTCCACAGAACCAGTGTGCGTCATCAGTTCAGTGAAGTTACAACACGTTGTCCCTACACATAGAAACCACACCAGCCGCCCTATTCTTAACACCTCTTGTCTCCCATCTAAATTTAGCTGGAGTGAAGCAGTGGGGCTAATGGCCCAGGAAGGAGATCCGTGGGATCTCCCTCAAGGATCCCTGTCCAGAGAAAAGGAAAAGAGGTCCAGCCCTCAGTTTCCCTGGCTGCTGCTTTTATTCCACTCCAACCGCTCTTAGGTACCAGCTGACCTGTGCCCCACATTTCTCTTCTCTGTTTTCCTCCTGCCTGTCTCCCTCTGTCTGCAGGCTGGCTTTGCCAGCATCACACCCCACTGGAACCCAGACTTGTGTGATAAAAACACATGTAACTAGCTAAGTTCAGTGCTTCTGGCTCCTAGCTCAGTTGCTTCCACCTGCCACTAGTCCCGTGCCTTTTTAGTCACCTTCTGTAAACAAAGTTTCTTCTCTGTGAAATGCAGTTGACAAAAGTACAAGCATAGCATTAAGTGGCAAGAGAGTGGTACCTGTGATGCAAGGTGTGATTGAAAAATACAATGAACATTTAAATTTTAAAATGTATCACAATAAGAGACATTACTATCAATCCTCCTCCAAACATTCTTGCTTTGAACACACTTATCCCATCATTCTTAACTACTGTCTGAAGCAGTTCTAGCTGTACTCTTTCATGAGTGTTGTTATTTTATGCTGTTGTGACTGCCTTAGTGTCCTGAATTCTTTCAAAACATTTACCTTTCACGGGCATTTTGACTTTGAGGAACAGCCACAAGTTGCAGCGTGCAGAAGTTGCAGATCTGTTAAATATGGTGGATGAGGACACACAATATTTTTATAAGCCTGCCTTTTTCTTGGATGGCTGTTGGCAGCAGCATTCACCATATATATATATATATTTTTAATCACATTTTATAAAGCTAGGAAAGAAGCTTCCAGAACTGCTTCAGAAAGTGGCAAGAATGATGGGATAAGTATGTTTGAATCAAGGACCCTTTTGAGGGCGGTAAATGGCAGTGTGTCTTTTACTGTAATCATTTAATTTAAAATTCATGGTATATTTTGATTATCTCATAGGGTATGGTTTGATGAAGGGATGAGGGACACTCAAGGTGCTGGCTACGTTCTGTTTCTTGATCTGGATACTAGTTATGTGGGTCAGTTTACTTCCTGAAAATTTGGTGTTATGGTCACTTTTCTGTTTGTAGGTAATACTTCAAATATGGTTTGTTTAAAGATGTACTTGGTAGTCCCTGTCAGAATAGTTGTGTGAATTAAGCACATTAATTTAGGTAAAGGCAATTTGAGAACCATGAAATACTAAGTGTGCATAAGGTACTGTCATTGTCCAAAGTTGTCTACCTCTTGAATAAGTTCTAGGTAGCTGTGGCAAGAATTTTATCCCTCTTACAATTAGTGTTCCAATACATCTATCATACAGAAATACTGTGCATCAAAACAAAACCATTTTCCTTAGGCACCATTCTCATTTTTTGTAAGCTCGCACCTAGCGCCTCATGCATGCTAGGCAAGTGCTCTAACGCTGAAGTATGTTCCTAGCCCAATTTAAAAAATATGTATTAGATAGTTCTTTGCTCTTTGGATAGGAGATTCTGAATGTGCTTTAAACTCTTTGCCTTGAAATCATTGCTACAAACATCTTTTTTTTTGAAACTATCTCACTGTGTAGTTCAGGTTATTGTAGACCAGATTGGCCATTGGCGTCCATCTCATGGTGATCCTCCTGTCTCAGCCAGAATGTGCCACCACACCTGGCTTTTTTGTATAGTGTAGTAAAATGGTTCCAGAACTGATTATTCTTCCACCTCTTGAATTTATAGCCTGTCAG